ACTGGTTGATTCCTTTATACGTTTGACAAACCTGGCATAGTTATAACATATTTTGTATGATCTTAGCCCTTAACCACTCATTTGATATGTGACTGGCCAATCAAAACTCTTTGTATTAGATCTATGAGTTGTTTAGGAAGCCAAAGGCAGGAAACCTAGTTTCTTTTAATAGAATCACAGGACAACTATACATTTTTATTCTTAAGGTAAGAATGCAGTTTCATCACTATTGTAGATTTCTGCAGGTCATCAATACTTATGAGTTCACCAACTGCTGGACTGTCGATGGAGAATGTTGTCAATGGAATAGTGGGAGAACCAACCCCATCTACAAGTGAATGTGGATCCAGAAGCATGAAGGTAAGTACCCTCGTACTGTCAGAAACTATTTCTTGGAAGTTTTTTTTTCTAAGGTCATTTTGACACATAGCGTTTAAATATCTTTGATCATCTTGTAATCATCAATATCTTTAGCATGGATGAGAAGGATCTTTCTTTTACCCTTCATCCAAATTTATGAACAATATGATGGTGGAACTTATAAGGTTTTTGTTCCAGACAACCTTAAGCTTTGTTAGGAGAGAGGGAGGGGAAGAGATGGATAGAGGGAAGGGATGGATTGAAATGAGGGTAATTTGGTCCCCACAAAAAATATTAATCTCTCCTGTTAAATTGTTTCTGTTAATCTATTTTTCCAAATTTATGATTCGCTATGTAGACTAAATAACCTCATCCTATTTCTTCTTATTCCTCTGCCTTCCTGCTATCCCAAATAGGGTACAGAGGCACTCTTGTAAAGGTTTATTAATTATCATGTCACTGTTATTTTAACTAAATGTACCAATGGTCAAGGAGTCATATATCTTCCTGTTATATTATTATATTGTTAGCAATTCAACAATAAATATTATTTGTTTTGATTTGTTTACGAGTTCAATCTTCATGCAACAAAGGTCTCCAGGAACTTTTTTTAGTATTCTATGTGCACATTAAACTGGCATTGTGGGCATCTTTGCTGCAAATGGGGCTTCAAAAGTTATAAATTTACTCAGTCATTAATCATACAAAGTATGAATGTCGTTTGCTAAGTTGCATTAGTGATAATGACAGAATACACAAGAATTGCAAGATAAAGAAAAAGAGTTGGAGAATCATAGTTATATAACCTAAGTTCTACTTTCATGGTATTTTGCTAAATTTGCTATTAGAAATGGAATAAAGCATGTTGGAACATAATCCTTATTTGTTTTGTTACTTTGTAGGGAAGGGAGCAGATAGGGGCAGGCATATCCTGTGAGAATGCACGAAGCTCCAATGTTCTTGAGGAATTTTCAGACAGCTTCGTGCAGTGGGTAACCTATGGAGAGACACTTTGCCATTGAATATCAAGCTTATCTCTTATTGTTTCACCCCCCAATTAATCAGTTGCTCCTTTGACTCAAACCTGCGATAGAGATGCAGATTCATGGATTAAGATTGATGAAGAGGGTGCTGCAGAATTAAAAGGAGAAGCAAAAGCAGTTGCATCTAACATCATTCTGTAGGGACAAAATATGCAGGGAACAATCCTTCTGGCCCTTGTGCATGACTCATGGCATTCATTATTTCTATCTTGAAAGAAAGCCTCAGTCAGAACATGGATCTGAAGTACAAAAAGTAAATAGTGAACAGTTAAGATTCTTTTTGGAGCTCAGCTATTCCTAATTTTCACCGCGGGTGTGGACCTTGTAGGTTTCAGTTTTGTAAATATGTTCTCTTTGCGTTAGCAAGAGCTCCGTTTGTAGGATTGCAGGTCATCAATTCTTTATATCCTTTCATGTTTATTGCGGCGGGATGTGATGCTAACGTTGCAGTTAAATATTTGGAAGAACGAGAACAGATCCATAATAGGACTGATTTGTCATTAAGGCGTCAAAGTTGGAGAACTCTAATGTCTAGTGTCTGTGTCTGCTAATGTTATAGAAATGGTGTTCATGCTTCTGGTCTTGATCCTCGTCCCTGATGTTGGCTGGGCCGAGTTTTTCAAGGAGGTGCAAGTTTCTGTATGCATCGTTGTGGATTCTGTTTGAAGAAATAAGAGGAATACAAATTTTGAAGCCTAGGAATCATTAAGTTTCAGAGATCAGTAGACCTATAGAAGAGAAATCAAAACTTTCATTCCATTATCTCTGTATCGATCTATCTCATTACAAGGCATGAACAACAAAAGAGTGGGCACTAGGAATTCAAGCTTTGATGTTTGGTTATCCATGTTCAGTTCTGTATAAAATTATGATTAGCATGCAAATGCAAAATTATGGGAATATCTAATCGGTGTCTTTTTCTTTTTGTGTTTGATTTATCTCAAGGTTCATTTCAGCGGTTGAGAGGCATTAGTAATTTAATCGTTAAACTAAAAAAACAGAAATGCTCTACCTGTCGGGAAGTATATTGGTAGATTATTTTGAAAAGTGTAATGTAGTCTCATGACATTGGGTGCGAGATACTCATGACAAGTGTCCTTTTTCTTTGATATGCTCATAGCAACTTACAATTTTATACATTTTACTTTCCTGAATAATTTGGTGGGAAAATAACAAAACTTATTAATGAGGATAATAGGTTAAAAAGTTTTTTGTATTACTAAAAAAAAGTTCCAATGGGTTATTGCATTATTTTTCTTTCAAATATATATGTATTTTAATTTTATTTAGATATGTTCTTATTACAGTTTAAGAAATACATGTATGGTCAAAAGACGTTATCAGTATAGATATTAAATTTTAAAAATATTATCAATATAATAATTATGCATCTTATTATGCATTATTAGTTTGTTCTTTAGTAATATTGTGTTTTTAGGTGCCATAATACTAGAAGATGATGTTTAAATGAAAGTTGAAATAACACTAGTATTAGGAATTTTGTTTTTCTAGTATTATGTTTTTTGTTGATTTTTTTATAAATTAATTAATTTATGAATGTTTGTTGATGTACAAAATATGAAAACAAAGGGACAAAAAAAAAAAAAAAAAAGTGGTTATCAGTGTAGCAGCCCTATGGGTATTAATTATGCTATCAACATTTTTAAGATTTGATACATACGTGAACATATCGTCTATCACATGAAGATTTTTTAACACTATTAAATGTGTTTATTTGTACAAAATTTGAAAATAATGAAAATATCAATTAGAAGTTTTTTTTTTTTGTTTTTTTTTTTTTGAAGAGTATGTGAATTCTTAATGCAGTCTCTCTCTCTCTCTCTCTCTCTCTCTCTCTCTCTCTTTTAATCAATAATCACGGAAGACATGAGTGGTAGTATTAGCACGTAGCGTTAGTTGAGGAAGACACTGTTGTCTCGTGATACCGAGGGAGATGGGAAATGCACAAAGACAAAAGTAGGGGGCTGACACATGCTGTCCATTTCCATCTCCAACAAAAACCTCTTTCACGTGCAACCATATAACTTTCCTGCTTAAACCCTCAAATTTACTGAATTTATCAACTCTCTACTTTCATCTATTTATAGTTTAAAATATGTAGTTTATTCTCTGATTAATTTACCCACTAAGATATGTAATGTTCGAAAGGTATAATTTTTAACAAGCAGTTATTAGTAGGTACCAGATTAAACTAAACTAAAACTGGTGATTCTATTCAGTAAAGAAGTAAAGTCATTTGTCTGTGATTAGCACTACAGAAAACAGAATAGCACTGTTGGGAAACTTGAAACAAATACTGCCAAAAAAAAAAAAAAGGGAAGAAGAAAATAAGGAGATCCGTGAGTCACGTTTGCACAACATGGCTGCCCTGCAGCTTCATGCCTAGGCTAAGCGCGATTGAATTTTGTGGGTAAATTATATCGGCAAAAGCAACAATAAATCTATAGTTTTACTCTATTAATAATCTTAATTATAAATTTATCATATTCATTTGAATATATATTCTCTAAAACTAATAGAATAATTCCTGTTGAAGAAGGGATCATCGTGAGCATACCTAGATTTTCTTGAAACTAGTATATTTCAAATAAAATATCAGATTACTATTAGAAAATTTATTCAGATTGATCCTCATCTATGTATTACTGTAGATAACTACATCATGCACCATTTCTCTCTCCTATTGACTTCGCCTGAATTGGATATATGATGTAGGCGATATGTTCCGTGCAACAAAAACCAGCCCGGCCTTAAGGGTTAGGCCCAAAGTTTGAAACGCCGAAAGGCCCGGCCTTAAGGAGTCAGGAAATCCAAAAGCCCGAAACAGCCTGAACACCCCAAAATGGGCGCCGTTTAGTTGGATCTTCACTTGGGTCCGAACGATGCAGTTTGGAAGAGACTTCGAAGGCAGCTCCCGGAGTTTCATTTTCCAGCTCTCTGTCTTTGTATTCTTCCACCAGGTAGCAGTTGTGGTGGCTGAGAAGGGAAGATATCGCGTCTGAAGGAGAAGGGAAGCGTGATGAGCATGGAGGAAGAATTCAGAAGATCTCATGCTGAGTTGCTGAGATGGATGAGACCAATCTTCAACTTCATTCTTTTGAAAAAACATTCCAAACATCCATCCCAACTCAACTTAAAAAAATTTTGATATAATTATAAAAAAAAAAAAAAAAAAAAAAAAAAAAAGCTCGAATATATAAAAAACTAAAATACTAAGCATCCAATGAAGTACATTTAACTATGATTTAGCACTTAGTAAAAATAGATTGGAAGTAATGGTTTTTTTTTTAATAAAAATATTATATAGTTCTTAGACCAAAAACTGAGAGCATGTATTAAACCTCAAAGAGGAGCATATACTTGACCGATATAGATTTCCTTCTATGCCACTGTTATTTCATTGACAATATATGTGCCTCAGGCATGTAGGGTATTTAATTGCCCACTTAAAGCCAAAAGCCAGACTTTCATGTCCCAAATAGAACATAAATAAATTAATCACAAATGCTGAGCCAATAGAACCAATTTGGGATAGGTCTACGCAAAACCTTCACTAAAAGCAATTTCGACAATTCCAGCATAAACAAAAACTAGGTTACAGCAGCCAAATAAACTCATTATAAGAGAGTAAGAACCGCCACCGAATGATCAACCTCAAAAAGGTTTCCTGCCAAAACAGAGCTTTGATCCTCGTCTCCTATTGAGTTCAACCGAGAATGGGGAAGATACGAGTAATGTGCTCTAATGGTATGCTATCGGCGGTGTTTTTCTTCAGCTCAGGATGGTTAAATTCATTACGAGGTAAAACAATGAGTTGGCCCCGACCATGCCCCTTCTCAATAATCCACCCACTGTTGGCTACCTGGTGCTCAAGGAACTTGTCCAATGACAGACCTTCAATGTTTATAGCCTGTGAGATTCCAATGCCAGTTAGGACAATTACAAATTAACCAATTAAATTGAATTACAGAACAAATCCAGATGAAGCCGATAAATCATTACAATGTTGAAAATTTTGACTCAAGTGACAATTGGATCTCACAATAAATCCCAGCATCATGCATAAAACATGAGAGAAAACATACCTCAGCAAGCACAGACCTAGGAACCTTTTGGTAGGTCAAGGAAAGGACGTGAATTGCATATGCTTGAATTGCTTGCTCAAAACCTGAAATGGTGAAATATGAAGGTACAATCAATTCAAAGCAACAAGCAAAAAAGCTAGTGATAAGCAAAAGCAAAACTCTCCATTGCTTTCTAGAGCAAATGTAAGATTGATTGGCCACAGGCTATGACAGAAGTCAAACCAGAATTAGTTTCAGGAGCATTCCATAATCACAGCAATAATCAATTAACCATTTACCAGGGACAGCTTCAACTATGTGACGACTCTTAGCTGCTTCATCCCAGAATTGACGAAATCTTCCTGTCTGCAGATGGAAGGTCTTAAACAGAACACATTCATTTCAAGCACAAATGTGGATTAAATTAACTTAGTCATTATGTACCTCCAGATAGTGTGAGAGAACAATCAATGTCTTGAACTGCTCCTCCATTTGCTGATGATGCAAAAACAAAATAACATATGAATATTAGCCATCTAATTGCACAATAATCCCATTCCAGAACAAGACATTAACAGGAAAAATATCCTTTATCAACGGAATCAACTAGTTCTAATCCATTTTAAACTTTCTGACAACATAATTTATTATTTCCTAGACACTTATGACCTGAGAAAATGAAGATATGTTTTAATTTTTCAACATAAGAAACAACAACAGATACCATCTTGAATACAAATTCAAATAATTTCACTGCAGAACATGCTGTTCCCAAGAATTGTTTTTTTTTTTTCATAAATGGGATTGACTGGCAGAACCTCATTCAAGCAGAAAAGTTTATGATGGCATGTTCCCATTAAGCTTGCTTCCCAAAGTGACATATACTTATCTCCCTTCATGCATAAACAAAATAAGATGCTGCTATTCCTAACCATACCTATATAATTCAGAAGGGCATTGAATAATTCTAAGCTATCTAAGTAGATCTTCCTTATTCAGTTCAATATAAGAAGAATCAGAATCAGCATTTAGTCAATTTTTTTATTCCAATAGAATACTAAACGCCAATACTCCTCAGCCATATTCAGATTGAGATCCAGGATTGCAAGGCCAAGATCACAACATTTTTTAAGCATAACTTGAAAAATACATGAGTGAAACCACACAATAGAAACAAGTTTCTCAATTTCAGCCCTAACCATATACTCCTAAATCGAACCATGGTCATTTTTAGCATGCTGAATTGCATAGGAAAAGTAATGGCACATAAAAGTACTATGGAAAGAAGAAGAATAAAGTCAGAGAATGATACCACTCGTTCTGGAATTAAAAAAAGACAGAGGCTGAAGTCTGCTCCAGGCATTGCCATGAGGGCCTATATAGAAGGACATGAAATAAAACCATACATGAGAAATACCTTATATGCCAATTTTCAGCAACAAGATCTTAAGCAAAGGTTGCCCCAAACCTTAACCAAAATACGTGCAATAATCTGAGTGCTCATGCGCTCTGGCTCAAACTGCAAGGGAAAACAAAGTCACATTAAATTTAAAGAACACATGAAAGCTATGTAAATTACTTCATCAACATGCAGACAAAAATAGTTGAATGTATGCCAGCATATGAAACAATACCTGGTAGAGTCGAAGAAGACAGAGATTTGCATCCAGACTGTATGTTTGTGATGAAACCTGACAAATGTAAAAATAAAGGGTTTACTCATTTTGGCATTCACTATAGTACGTTATTTATACTCATTTTGGCATTCACTATAGTAGGTTATGTAGATAGGCTAACAAAATTTTCATTAACACCCACTCTATAGTACTAGTCAAGGTAATGTCATTAAGGAACAAAAACCTATCTATTCCTTCTTTTTTCCAGGTTGAATAGGAAGACAAATCATTTCTATTCATTAACTCAATAATTTTCTAAGTGTCTAACAAAATATAAAATATATAATATTATGTTATGTATTATTTATTACTGTATAAATAATTGTTTAAATTAAATTTATCTTTTTTACTATATTTTATATTATTTCAGTTTTTACAACTATTTTCCTTTGATTTATTCTCTTTTTATAACATTTTGGTAATTTCAGTATCAATACCTAACCAAATACTCAGCTTCTACACTTTGACGTAGCACCACTTTCAACAGCTATTGTCACCAGTAACACTTAACAATTTTTTATTAAAACTACTTCCAATCAATAGCTATTTTAACAGCATTTTTAAACTCAGTAGAAGCTACAGACGCTACCAAACGCAACCAAAAAGTGCTTGTGGCAAATGTTTGATGTGTGTGATTAGCATAATTCCAGTGACAAAAGCATGGAGAAATGCATAAGAAACACTAAAACGCCATGAAAATGTTGAGTATAAAGTAGAGCAATGATAAGTATAAGATAAAACGAAACCAATGAAATGAGAATGTAATATATGATTCAATCTCCAACTTCACTGAGGTTGGTTTGACTTTACTGATGATTACAATGAGCCTGCCACGGTTCATATAAAACTAGAGCCCACAGGAATGTACTAAATATGTTGGAGACAGTGCACTGAGAAAACTAATTACTGTTTTTCTACTCCTCTTCAAAATTAGGGGAAATTAGGAATATTGAAAATAAGAGAATATAAGTAGGTCGGTAATTTAGAACAATGTTCAATATACTAAGAATATGATCTCCTTCAGTATCCTCTTTAATGATAGGAGAGTTCCTTTCTGCACTCAGACTACAAACTACCATCACAACATCTGGCAGAGAAACTCAATCGGCTAAAATAACTACAAAATGGTACTTCTTTTTGCTTCCAAGTAATCTAAAATCAAATTTGAAAGCCAAATTAACGGAAAAAGAACCAACCCAGTTGAGTATCCAGTCTCATTTTCAAGAAAGCCCAGAAAGAGCTTATATAAATACAGGGAATTCCCATCATCTACTATTTTCTTCATTACTCACCACAAAGTAGTCTCTTACACATCAAGCACGTCAGATTCTTAACCCACAAAAGCAATTCCACAGCACATTGGACACGACATATTCCAGATTATACGTTAAATTGGAAGGCCAGGAAAGAGAAAGCAAAGAATTACTAACTAAGCCACATATATCAACACTAATGAAAAATACTGAAATATATATATATGTATATATAAGAGGGAGGGAGAGAAGAGGGACCTGCTCATTTACGTAGTTTTCGAGATCAGGAAGGATATCTGGGTTGTATGGATTGACGGCAACGAGCTGCTCGACAGTGTAAGGTACCTGCTGCTGTTGTTGTGGGTTGGGTTTTTGAGGCTCTCTTTCTCTTCCCATTATTAACCTGCGATGATCTTTGTCGTGCGTATGCTTCGTTGGACTCGCGATTACAGGTAATACAACCAGAGAGAACAATAGAAACGAGAGCAGAGAGAGGGCGTTGCTTCTTTCAGTCTCTCTAGGGTTTATGTACATTCGACCGATTTTTTTCCTCAAAAGACTATAATACCCTCTTCTTTCTTCCTCTTTTTATTGCCTATATAAATGCCTAAATGCCCTTCTTCTCTCCCGAATAAAAGTAGACGGAGAGACAGAGAGCAGAAGCAAAATCAAATGGCGTCTAGGGTTTCAGGAAAAGGAGCCAAAGGAGGAGAAGATAGATCAGTGACTCAGTGCTTGAAGGAATGGAGCACTTGGACAGCGAAAAAGGCCAAAATCATCACTCACTATGGCTTCATCCCTCTAATCATCATAATCGGCATGAACTCCGATCCCAAACCCCAGCTCTATCAGCTTCTCAGCCCCGTCTGATCTACACACCACCATCCTATGAATCAACCTGCCCTTTTGTTTTCCTTTATTGGGTTTGTAAAATGGATCAAGTGGTTTAATTTTATCAACTCTTGAATCATATAAAAATTTTTTCTTCTTTTTCTTTCAGTTTGCCTGTTGATCATTCTTCATGTTAAACAACCATATCCGAGATCATTTTTGATGAAATGATCAGGCTAATGTTTCATCAACTTGTGCTAAATTGATGATTATGCAATTTCATATTACTATTTCAAGGCAATTTACAAGACCATTGACAGATTTCTTTATGCTGGATGCAAGGTCATGGATGAAATCTTTGTTTGACTGAAAAACAACCTAAACAAGAAGAAAAATAAATTGCAATTAGGAACACTGCTTGTTTACAGATGTAACAGGTTTGATATGAAATTCCACCCCATCCATGTCTTCTTGTCAGAAGGACAAACAAAATTTAGCTCAAACATCTCCCTGCTTGCATGATCGCCGGATTCGCAGAATCCAACAAGCTGAGCAACAATGTCTGCACTCTCTTGCACATGCTGCATGTTAAGAGGGTCTGTCCACAGTTTGTTCACCAGTTGTAACCTTCTCTGTTTTCCCACAGAGAACATCCCATTTCAGTAAAGCACTTCTCTATCCTCAGCTGTTAGTTTCGAGCTCACTCTCTTTGCTAAGTATTCTCTTTCTTGTTTAGAGCTTTGATACTGCATCCAAAATCAGCAGTTTA